AGTGAAAATACTATAATATGAGTAAGACTATTTTTGTTAGTAAATAGTAGTTCACATTACCACTTCCAGTCTCCCACGCTGCAAAGTGCCACACTACCATCGAAGTGCTGGCGTGGGTCGTCGGCATTAATCACCGTTCACCGGTGATCCACCACCGCATTGCCACTGTTACACTGTCATCATTCATAATTCTATATTATCCTCACACTCCTAGTTTGCTACCATTTACATTGTTGAATTTCTATTTGGAGGATAAAAACTATACCAACTCCTATTTTGGTATTTTGATTGCACTTTACTCCTATTTATGACATTCCTTATTTCTAAAATATTCTTTTGCTTACAACTCTATTATTATCACAAAGAACTCTTTGGCAAAAGATCTTGCAGTCGAGCGGCATACTTGTGCCTCTTAAAAACCGATTGCCACATGTTCGAATTCTAATACAAGCATTGACTGAGTGTGCTTCATTAAAGCTAATACTGTATATATTTTAAAAGGTTGCATTTTTTGAATTAAAAATATTACTTACCTTTCGTTAATTTAGCAAGTGTGACTTGATAAAATTTTAGAAGTTACAACTTTAGAAAAATGACTTTTTTAATGAGAAAAATTAAGAAAACATGAATGTGTAGTCTACACGTGAAATAATTAAATGGTGCACCCATTTTTAGTTAGATCAGATTTGTTTTAATTGGGTCAAATAATGAGAAGAAATTTCAATTTTGTTGACTTTTTGTTTTGCATTTGTAGTTTTATTGCTCTAAAAAAAACTACTCATAAAACGGTGCACCCATTTCAGTTAGATGAGACTTTCTTTTAATTGGGTCAAATATAGTAATAAAAGTGTTTTCAATTTAGTTGACTTTGTGTTAATTCTCTGTATTTTCCGGTTTAATATTTTAAGAACATATTTCAGGTAATTTCAACACGAAAAGTCAGTTTACTTGAGGGAGTAATAAATTTAGATAGAAGAAAGAAAAAGAATATCATAGTGGAGATTTAAGGTTGCTGTTTCGAGGTATTATTTGTTATTGATAAGATATTTTTAACTTATAAGGTGTTTATAAGTTATACTCCGTATATTCTTTCATGAAATTAAAATGACTTAAATAGTTATAGATATGTCGTTTAATTTATAGATATTCATTAATGATGGGGAATAAATAATCCATCAAAATGGAGAAATAAAAAACTAGTTTAAAAATAAGTAGGTAAGACCTACTTATTTTTTTGACTTATAAATAACTTATAAGTCAACTTAATTACTATAAGCATAGAGAAACAAGTCATCAACTGAGTTATAAGTTTAAAAAACTTGTAAGTAATTTTGATCAACTTATAAACGCATAGAAACGCCCAGAATAACATGCTAATTAATCCAAAGCTTTTCACCGTGCACATGTGGTCCCAACATATGGTACCGGAACCCATGTTCGAAGTGGACTACATAGTGTGTGGAGTTATCGGAGCTAAAGTTTGAGCAAGCACGAGCGGTAGACTATATAGTGTGCGGAGTTCTCGATGTGATAACATGAACAAAATCAGATGAGATCTGCATGGGGTGTCTACGGTCTTGTGTCAAAAGTCTTTCTGAGAGACTAATAGTAACACGTGGTCTGGCAGCGTGTTTTGTTGGGTGGTAACTGTGGTCCAATATGCTTCGGTAGATCTAGTGGTGTGACCTATCGGTTGAGATCTACGATTGATGTCTTCTTTCGAAAATCTTCCTACAATGATGGGGATTAGGCATCGTGTCTTGAAGATTTGCTGTGGCGGTGTGAAATGGTGAAAGATTAAAGAGAGTATCATATCATTAGATGAGAGGTCATGAATTGTGTAGTTCTCGACTTGAAGGGAGAATTGTTGGGTGCATCACAGGTCCCACATTGAAGGAAAAGTAAAATTCTACCACATTAATCTAGTTTAACCCAACATTTGAAGTGAGTATGATACATTTTTGAAGTTGTCCAAAAATAATTCCTAAGAGCTTGTTTAAAATATAATGACCAATATTATGCTAATGCGGGTTATGGTGGAATACACGTAGTGTGGGCATTTTGCACTATTTAAAACCCAAGGACAAAGGTATTTATTTTCTCCATCTGTCCCAGTTTAATTATCATGTTTCTCCTTTTAATTTTTTCTCTACCTGGATTTAAACTTCTCATTTCTTACATACATGTATGTTTGGATAAAAATACCACTTCTTTACTTAAAAAAAACATCCGTTTTTCGTATAGGTTTGATATTCCCATTTCTCATGTTAAAGCATTTTAAGTAAGGGTACTTAGGCAAATCTACATAATCAATCTCTCTTAAAATGAAAAAAGTCAAAACATAAAGATTAAATAAGAACAAAGGGAGTATTACTCAATATTATTTTTCTTTCTATTTCTCTTTTACAATGATATTTGACATAGTAAAATACAATTTTGTATTCTTTTGGTATTTGAAAGTGTTATTTGGCATTATTTTGAAGATTAGACTGTTGAGATTGTGAATACATATTTTGGCATTTTGAATTATTTTTTCGCATTAAGTTTTGTTTTTTTTTAACCGAGGGCACACTTTTAATTTATTAACAATTTTTTTTTACTTTCTCCCGACTGAAGTTTACAAAGTTAAAAAGCAAGAATATAATCATCAGTACAATTCATTAGTACACAAGTTGTTGATTAATTAAATTAAAAAAAGATTAGTACACAACAAAATTTGCCATATATGTTACAACTACATACATAAATATTAATGTTAAATTAAAGGAATAGGTGTACACATTAGTTAAAAGAGTAGTTCTGATTTATGAAAAGAACCATAAAATAGTACTCTAACAACAAACATGTTTAAAATTGGTACAAATTATACATCAACTTTGAGTTGGCCAAACAGAGAGTTGCTTAGTTTCATTTTGTCACTTGTGGTGTAGGCCAACCAATACATTTAGGGGTGGCCCTGCCCTCCACATTTGGCTAAATTAAGTTGCACATTATTTGTTTGATATAAAGACTAAAAATAAAATATGTCTTGGAAAGAGAATTAAAATAAGACATAATGTTTGCATTCATTAATACAAACATATATTATAAAAAAACTTTATGAAATACATACAAAATAGACCCTATCACACTGTCACAGTATGATAGTCATTCTATTTTGTGTATCTCAATTTTCAGGTCAAATTAATTGAATCGAGCTAAGGTGAAAAGTGTTATTTTTAGAGTCTGTTTGTTTGAAGAGAAAATATTTTTCGAAAAATTTTTCTGTGCAAATATTTTCTCCTATAAAATATATATCCCTTTGTTTGAGGAAATTATTTTTCTGCACAAATATATTCTCTCAAAGATAGAAAAATAATTCATTTTCCTATGGTCAGTCTTCATCCTTAGCCCTACTCAGTTCTCAGTTCCTTAGTTTTATGTACTGTATAAAGCAAAGAACTCATATTTAATGGTTCAGATCTACTAAGTTCGATCACCATCCCCTTTTTAGAAGATTTTTAATTTTTTTTGTATTTTTTATAAATATTTATATTTATTTAGGTATGTTACGTTTTTACAAAAAAATATTTTAAATTAAATAAATATATAAATAATAAGTAAAAATGAAATAAATAAAATATTAAATAAAATAATTTTTAAAAAAAGTACTTAATAAAAAATGAATACGAAAAAAACTAAAATAATTAAATAAATAATGAAATACTAAACAAAAAATTAAATAATTAATTAAATATAAAATAAATAAATAAAATGAACGAGAAATATACAATGTAGATAACACTCCTAAAACTAATAAATTAAATAATCACTCGTGTTAAATAATTACGTACTTCACCTGTCATTTTGACTTTTTCAAGTTAAATTTTAGTGAAATTTTCACTGAATAAGACTAAAACATAAGTCATTTCTCAATGTAGAACTTAAAATTTTTTATTTTCTAAATAGGATTTAATAATGACTAGTGAGAAGAATAATATCTAAGTAATACTGGACATTTAGTTGAATAATGACTAATAGATAATGACCAATAGTCCTACATTGAGAAAATAAAAACATATGGTCCTATATTAAAAAAGCCATTATGTTTTAGTCTTATTTAAGTAAATTACCCTAAATTTTATCAATATTATTCATACCCTACCTATCACATCATACTCTCTATTAAAAAACCACTTTTACCTATACTTTTTCATACCCTACCTATCACATCATACTTTTTCACTAATAATCAAACTATCACATCTTACTTTTTCCATCATATCAGGGACAAAATTGGAAAGTCAACCAAAATTATACTTTCTTTATTTTTTCCCAAAGTCAAAATCAGAAGGGTTTTGTGGAACGGAGGGAGTAGAACAGAGTAAGTACGAAGTGCGGAGTAATAATTACGGACGGGGCTGCCCTTTTTACTTGAAGGCCAGGCCCAATCATCAAAGTGAAGAAACCAGCATTGGGTGATGAGGGTAAAACTTATGAAATTAAATTTCAATATTTCATGTTCTCAGGCCTAACTCTCAACTAGGGGTGTTCAATCGGATCGATCTGATCTGGAAATTCGGATATCCAAAAATTTCGAATCATGTAAAACTCATTCCATATTTGATCCGAAAATATTCGGATATCCGAACTTTTGAATCAGATCGCTGGATTATCCGAAAAGTTGACTTTTTAGCCCAAATTTATTTTAAAAAAAGGTAAAATAGTAAAATCAACCCACAATATCAAATTCAATATAGATTTACTAAAAGTAAAATTTCACCACTATGTAATGGCCTAATAAAAAAATGATACCAAATTCAATTTGTAAGTAACTCTGGTAATTTTGCCTAAACAAATAAAAAAACACTACTAAAACAAAAAGTTCCAAAATGCTAATGCAAAAATTCCAAAATGCTTGAGTTCCAAAATCAACATAAAAGTGCATTAAACATATAGCCATAATATGTATCCATAAAATTCCATTAAACATATAGAAAACAAAATCGGATATCCGATTATCCGAAAAATTCCAGAAATTCAATCCACATCTGATCCGATTTTTCTCGGGTATCCGATACGAAATATCCGAAAGCTAAAATATCGGATCGGATATCCATTTTTCGAATCGGATCTGCCCGAATCATGGACAGATATTTCAGATCAGATTTTTTTGAACACCCATACTCTCAACCCCGGTTTTTTATCGGGTTTCACCTCAAAACGCTATTTTCTACGTGTTTTAACACTCTTAAACCACGTCACTACTACAAAAACGAGCAAACCGACTACCCTAGCTATTTGTATCGATTACCAAAAAAACCTCAAACCACGTGTTTTAACTCCTATTTCAAGAATAAAAATATTAAATTTTTATTTTGATATATTTTCAATGTTTTACTTTTAGTTTAGTCTTTTTTCCTACAATGTTTCTTAATGCAAGCGTATGTAATATCTTTATGGTGTTAATTTTGATATCACCTTCTATTTAAATTATCCCCTGCCCCTCTCGGTCTAAAATTTCTTCTCGTCTCGGTTTATGAGATTGAATTGAAATTATTTTCAATTTAATTTATTTAATTATAGATTAAAATTTCAAAAAAATTATGCGTAAAATTTAAAAAATAAAATATATATGTATATTTAAAAATCATATCAAAAATTCTAGACGAGACACGACACAAGGGAGTTACTTCCTCCGTTTCACAAAATACTTCCGCCCAAATGTTTTGCTGATTCCTCAAAACACTTATACCCCATTTAGAGGGTGTTTGGGAGTGCTTAAATTGTGGATAAAGTGATTTCCACCAAAGACGAAAGCAAAATCACCTAATACCTGCTTCTTTGAAACGGTGTTATATGTACAAAATAGTGGTGGTAAAAAAAAGAAGTGGACATGTCAAACAGAGTAAAATTACTTTGATTCCAAGCAGAAGCTAAATTATTAAAAGCAGCGCACTGCCAAACACCCTCTTAGTATATCTAAAGTACACTTCCATTTCGTAGTTTATTGAAGATAAAAGTTGTCTTGAAAGTACAATATTAGACATTTTAGGTAGAATAAAAGTATTTTATGAAATGCACGAAAAATTAGAGTAGAAATATTTTATAAAAAAATGGTGTAATAATATAGAGGTGGTTGATGAGATGAGATCAATCATTGCCAATTTTTTAAGCCCTCAATACATTGGTCACCTGTAACGCTAACATTTAGACTTGATTTTGATACATGGTGGATCTACTGACGACGACAACCTAATTATTTTTATTTATTTATGTTTTTATTTATTTATCTATTTATGTTTTTATTTATTTATTTCCAAACTGCAGTCGTTTGTTTGTCAACTTTACACGTACTGCAGTTTCCAGACATATACTTCGTATATATATACAAATAAATACACGTACACATAAAAGGTTTGATGTTGAAACACTCTTATAATATACTCTCTTTCGTACCAACTAGTTCGTTGTACAATTTTTTTTGACGTCCACAACTAATTAAACAATGGGTTTTTTTCATGTCTAGTAAATAGATTTAGGTCATGTTTGGAAATTGGAAACAACGTTTTTGATTAGTTAGAGTTAATGTTTTGAATAAAATTTTAATGATACAGATTAATTTTGAAAATGATAACGCTAAAGACTAACGTCGCATAACCTTTTCACGATGCTAACACTAATCTATATTGTTGATGCCAAGCATGCATGATCTTAATTTCAGTATTCAACAAAACTGGCAAAAAAGTTTGCGAGGATTGAGTTCGAAAACATTTTTAGGGATTGGAACCTTCGAGGAGACGGATTGGATTGAACACGAGGAGCTCCTGTCTGGTGTGGAGGAGGGCATCATTGCTGAGGACATGGTGTGTGCTTACAGAGTTCGTAGAGTGTATTCTATTGAGCAGAAGAGTTAGTGTGTTGGGGTCTTTCTGATTTGAAAAAAGATAAACAAATTAAATTGATGTAAATCATTCTAGTACTATTTAAGTACAGACTATTATCAAAATGTTTATTGTTTATCTTACATTAATCATGGTTTAATTAAGACGTTAAGTATTAGGTATTTTTTATATAACACAACTAAATCTGGATATGAAAGTTAGGTTAGTGTTTTAGATAAAATTTCAATGGCGAATATTACTTTGAAAATGCTAACGCTAACAATAAATAACACTGACTATAAATAGCTTTTTCAAAACGATGACGCTAATTTCTAAAGTTATTTCCAAACAGATCTATAGTAGTGAGAGTACTCGGGAGTATTAATCCCGGATATATAACTTGGTTGTGGTAAATCAACATTTGACAATTAAATGAACATTCTTTAAAATTAAATGGCCTTTTCCCCCAACTTAACGAAATAACCATTAGATCTTCACAAAAGAAATGAGGGGAACAAAAACACAATTGCATAATTTCATTATTTAAATAATAATACAAAATTTCAAAATAATATTTATATACTCCCTCTATATTATATTTTTCTTTTCATTTTGATTTTTATGGTCAAAGTTTTTTCCACAAATTATGGAGAAAAAATAAATTGGATTGTGATAGAAATTCAATATCAATAGATTAATTATTGAAACGTAGTTTTGAAATATCATAATTTTATATACTATATTTATATATAAATAGAAATATTAATAATCAAATTATTGCATTGAAGACTGTGAAAAATCAAACAAGAAGAAAGATATGGGATTAAGAAAGTATTACCGGTGTATATTAGAATTTTCTATAAAAAAGAAGTGACATGACTACTCTATTTTTTTAGCAAAGATCACAAAAAATAAATAAAAAGAAAATAAAAAAAGTTGACTTCTGAATCATTGAAACTCAATGAGCTTCTACATAAATCTTGGTGAGTAGACCTCCTGTCACTCAAGCCAATGGTGTAACTCTTACTTTTTACAACCTCCCTCCCATAAAACTTTTCAAAAAAAGACATGCATTGAAAATGTATAATTTTGATATTATTTTCTAATTTTATTCTTAATTTATAATAAAGTATGATATGATGTGTATGATAGATTAATCATACTTAAAAATGATACTCCCTCCGTCCCTAAATGTTTACCACATTTCAAAAAATGAGACAAAATATTAAGTTTTTTTCAATTCATTTTATTTAAATATTGGTATAGAAATAAAAAATAAAATTTAATTTTTAAAAACTACGTAAAAAATTCTTTAAAATAGAAAGTGCCAAGAATATTTTATTTTATCAAATAGTCAAGAAAAATGTACATATAAACAAAAGTTTTTGTGATGGTTGAAAAAGAAAATGTAGTAATCATTTTGGAACGGAGGGAGTATCAGAATAACCCATTTTTAGGGCATGCCTTTTTCGTTTTTGAAAAGTTTTATGGGACAGAGGAAGTAGTTTTCAACATCTTTCTTAACTCCGTAAAGTCTGACTATTGGAAATTTAATAGGACGTAAGGAGCATTATGTGTTTCTTCCATCCCATAAAAAGGTTACACGTTTTCCTTTTTAGTTTGTCCAAAAAAATGTTCCACTTTCTATTTTTACGGGAAAAAATTATACATAAAATTTTTCTTCCATTTGCAGCACTTCATTTCATTTTTCTTAATCTCTGTTAGAGTGCATCCTACATCATAAGTTCAATAGCAAAAATAACCGGTATATAAGTTCTTGAGTTGAACTAACTAATCGATTGAATTCAATCTTTTAATGTGGTTCAGCCGAAGTGTCTTATAGCCCAATCCAGTTATCTCTACCCAATCCTAAATTATATCATGGTATCGGAGCAGGTTTTGACCCACCTCGTTTGTCAAGGTGTTCATCTGGACGTTCATTTCTAGCGGTCTGTTAGACTTTAGCTCAGTTGTCCGTATAAAGTATGTACCAACAGCATGTGGCCCGTTTAACACGATTGCTCGTTTGAGGGGAAGTGTTAGAGTGCATCACGTATCAAAAGTTCAAGTAAAAATAAGCGGTATATAAGCTCTTGAGTTGAACTAACTAGTTGATTGAATTCGATCTTTTAATGTGGTTCAGCCCGAGTGTCTTATAGTCCAATCCAGTTATCTTCACCTAATCCTAAATTCTATCAATCTCCGTGTGGATCAATTTGATGGGACGGGGAAGTAGGAAAAACAGAGTGATATTTTTTTAATATTATTTGTACAGTCCATATGATCACCTGCAGAAATTCTCATGCATATAAATATATAGTAGCAACAATTCAACAATTCCCAATTTCAATCTTTTTCTTCATTTTAAAACCCCCCAAAAAAACAGTAATTAAATATGGAACAAGTGTCATCAACATTTCCATTCCAAGATGGATTACTGCATTTCTGTCCAGTTTCTACACGTCAGCAAACAGCCCCTCCGCCGGAATCCGACCACATTAACAATCCCATGTTGGTTTTTGATGATCTTCTTAAGGAATCCAATGATTATTATTATTATCATAATAATAATAGTATTAGTGAAGGGCAGGAGAGACTGCAAAAGAAGACGAAGAACCCTAATGATCATAATAATAATAATAATAATAATCAGCCGCAGCCTCCGCCGGAGAGGAAGATAATGCGGCGGGACGTGGAAAGGCAGCGGCGGAAAGAGATGGGCGGCCTTTACAAAAGCTTGGTTACCTTAATCCCCTATGATTATATCAAAGTTAGTACTCTCCTTTCTTTCTTTACAAATAATTAGCCTTTTGTTTCGTTTAACTTTTATGAGTTAGACTAATCATCAATTACATAAAATTAGTGTTACATATTAATACAGTAAAATACTTTAAGAAGGAGGTAGTATATACTTGCTCTATTAAGTTATACTTCATCCGTCCCAAAAAGATTTACACGTTTTAAAGAAATTGCGTCCCACAATCCCTTACCCATTTCTATTAAAAAACCACTTTTATCCCTTATTTTTTCAAACCCTATCTATCGCATCATACTTTTTTTACTAATAATCTACACATCAAATCATACTTTTACCCATCACATCAAGGATATTTTTGGAAAGTCAACCCAAAATTATCTCTCCCTTAATTTCTACTTTAGTCAAAACGTACCCATCTTTATGGGACGGAGGGAGTATATACTACTCTCTCTGTCCCTCAAAATATTTTTCTTTCTTTTTTTATTCATCCTAAAAAACTTTACATATTTCTATTAAAAATTTAATTTTACCCCTATTAATTCTTAACCTACCTATCACGTCACATCTATTCACTATTAATCTACGCATCAATTCCTAATTTTACCATCACATCAAAGAACATTTTTGGAAACTCAACACTAATAATTAAATCCCTTAAAAATCAAAATCTCCCATGTTTTTAGGAAGGGAGAGAGTAATTAATTACTACCGCCCAACATTAATTTTTATTTTCTTTTTTTATTATCCTAAAAGAAATTTTATACTGTAAATTTTTGCCTATGTACGTCATTTGCGATTTTTTTAGTCCTCTACTTAAATTTAAATTAATCACTAACCTTTTTAGATTCTATATTTTATTTTATTTTTAAAATAAATCGTGAAGTGAATTAAATGGGGACGCATTTGTACCAAAAGGAAAAAAAATTGGGTACGTAAGGAATATGATTGAACGTGGGGAGTTGTAGCGGCAAGTTGGGACAATGTGGGGATGCATATGTTGTCCTAGATTTACATGTCTTCTCACACACAATGCATGTCACGTTCACATCAAGTGAAATAAGTTATACTAAAAAATAAGTTAAATTAAAATCATTGTAAATCAAGCTACATCTTTTATCTTGTTACAAAAAATGGTGGAACACTCATCCCGGTCTTGATACAAACAGAGTATACACATTAGTTACTAGCTTTTGGTTTTGATTGAATTAGGGAAAGCGTTCAACGTCGGATCGCCTGCAAGAAACGGTTCGGTACGTGAGGGACTTGAGGAAGAGAGTGGAGAAGATGAGGGCACGGAGAGACGAACTCAGAGGAACGGTGATAACGGAGCCAGTTGCAGTAACAACAATTACATCATCATCGTCATCATCTAGCCTGCTGATGAAGCAAAAGGGTGATCTTCATCAAGATGAGTGTAGGCATGATGGTAATGATGATGAGATGATGAGTAGAGTGGTAGTGAAACCATGTAGGAGTGGGGTGGAGATCACGTTATCCGTTAACAAAGCTGACGACGTCTCCCTCTCCAAAATACTTAACGTCCTCGTCTGTCAAGGGATGTCCGTGAATACTTGTTCTTCCGTCAAACTTAATCATAGACTCCTTCTCACTATCCAAGCTGAGGTAATTAATTAATAAATGGTCTCAAATATTTTAGAGACGAGTTTGAAAGATAGAATGTAAACGTTATTAACATTAAAAACCATTTAAAAAAAACCCTCTCTGAAAGTATATTCCCATAATCCCTAAAAGATTGTCACAATTTAACTTTTTAAGTCAAACTGTGCTATGCCTTGACTTTGAATCGTGGAAAAAAATATATTTAATTATAATATAAATTTAGTTAAATTTGATTTATTTTAAAATATAGTTTTGAAATATCGAATTTTTATAATATTTAATTATTTTAAACTATATTTAAGGGAGAAAGACCGAAGTAACACTAAAACATTGAAAATATACCAAAATAAGACTTACATGTTTTTATTTTCGAAATAGGACTTACATTACCAAACATGATCATATACATTACCAAAAAAGTACAATAATGTGCACATGTACACTGCCACATTACCATAGTGCAAAGTCACATTGTTGTAGTACAAAGTCCTATTTCGGAAAAAAAACATGAAAGTCTTATTTTGGCAATTTTTTCTATGTTTTAGTTCTATTTAGGGTGATTTCTATATATTTAATTCGTATTTAAAAGAAATCACAATTCAATCAAAAATATCAAACTGTGACAATCTTTTAAGGCGGGATGAGAGCAAATTTTGTATGAAAATGTGCACACCAACATAATGTCGTACATATAGTCCACCAAACCGCCTGTACTATTTCTAGTTTTTGACAATTAATTAAATAATTAATTATACTTTATTGCTTATACTTAAATATATAACGTTGCAGGTGGTAGGAGAAAGGACAGTTGATCCAACACAAGTGGAGCAGCAATTGTCCGGTCTAGTACATCCTAATAATAATAATAATCATAATCATGGACCATTTGTAATTTAAAATTATTAATTGTTTTATGTACTTTAGGTTAGGTTGTGTCAATTTCTTTTCTTTTTTAAAATAGTTTTCATTAATCATTTATTAGAATAAGATAGCTATGTCAAATCTCATTTTCATAGAATTTAAAATAGATTCTTAATATATAAATTTTATTTTATTTTAAGTTTTTATATATTATTTAAATAAATAGGATCCAGATGAATACAGTTAACTATCATAATCGCAATAGAATTTTAATTCTGTAACAGGTAAAATGTTTAATATACTCCTTACATATTTAAAATTGACCTTGTATAACAATAAATTGAAAGTTTGTGGTGTCATTTACTTATTAAAACGATTGAAAAATGTGAACCACACAAAAAACAAATTCTTTAAGAATTTCCAAAACTTTTTTTTTTGGTTGGAAAACTTGGAATAAGATTGGTTATGCTTTAAGAATGCAATATAGGCCCAAAATTAAAGATCAGCCCAGCATGTTCGTAGGCCCGCTCCCAACTTGGATGCGTCCCGTCCCCAGCGCATGGGTCATCGTCTCACGTACAGAAGCCCGGAATGGCAAGTTTATTTCTTTTATGTAATTTCTTGATCGAAGAATGAGATCCCGTTTGGTAAATTTTGAGAATGTGATAAAATATAAATTTTGAAATTTCAAACAAAGTTGTTTGGAGAGATTAAAAATTATGATTTAATTAATGATAGCTAGGTGTGACTGACAACGGCGGTGATTTGCGATAACAATGGTAGTCGGTGATGGAGAATGATCAACAATTGAGAGAAATATCAAACCTCCATATTGGTATCTCCCAAATTCGTAAGATATCAAAATTCTCCGTTTGAAAGAATTATAATGTCAGGAGATATCAAAATCAGTATTTTTCTTGGCTTCACGAAACACCAAAAAAACGTTCCGATATCTCTTTTATTCATCAAACACACCTTGATTTTAAGTATATTATGCAATCGGCCCCTTTTCCTTTATACTCCGTGTGTTATGTTTGGTTCACAGCTCAAATAATTTGAGAGGCAATATTAAAAAAATAGATTCCGAAAATAATTCCTTTTAATTTGTTAGTGAGAAAAAGGTAAAGTGAAACAAAAAGAACATGAGAAAAAAACTAAAAATAACTAATTTTCTTCCATTTTTTTGAGAAAAATAAGAAAAGTATTTTCCTTTTCTTTCTATTTCCTCGAGCCAGATGGAGTGTTAAAGATTGTTGTCCGCTAACTCTTTAAAACATGTACAGTAATTCGTTAGGTAAAAACAAAGAAATTTATTTAAACTTACAATCATAGAGCACTAGAAATACTGCCGACACCCCGGGCCGTTATCTGGCGTTTAACGTCATTGGGGCGTCAAACACCACCCCCTTAAGCATTAGACGGGTGTTAAACGTTATGCGCTAAACATTTGACGCAGCAACAACAACGGCTCTCCGACTCTCCCTCCCCCCAATGGCCATAATCTGGATTGTTGGGCATTATTTGATTTTTTTTCTATTTTCAATACTATAAATACCTCTTATTTTTAACACAACAAGCACACACGGCCTATTGTTATTCTCTCTATAATTCTTCCTAAATATATTTCATTTCTTTTAGTTATCTCTACAAAATATTCAAAAAATAGGATCATCATTTGACGATGAAAAGAGATTTTTGTTGTTTCGTTACAGGTTGTTATCAATGGTGATAATAAGGGCAACAAAAAGAAGTATAATCATCGAAACGTCCGACATGATATGAGCGTTTAAACCATGATCGGGCGGCTGCAAATGCTTTACTACTCAACGGCTACTTTACCTATTTCAATACTTCGAATAGTATTAAAATGTCATTTTAACGTAGAAATATGACATTTTAAAACTACTCGATATCCAAATGAATTTGGAGTTATGGGCACATCAAAATGGACAATAAAAATTTATTTTTGTTAATAAATACAATGGAAATATATATTTCGATTGATAAAAAAAGAAATGTAAAAGATTTTTATAAGAAGAGATCATATTAATAATGACTTTTTAGTACTTCCAACAAAATGTCTCTCGAACGTTCCTCGAAAGCAAACCAGACTTGAAGGCCCGTCAGTGCAGTACAGGTTAAAGAGGCCTTCAAAAGCCCAACACGGAAGCCCATTATAGTGAACAAAAAAAAAGGAAAGGAAAAAAAACAAATCTAGAAAGAAACGACTCAAGAAAATGTCATTTCTGAGGTCAATGGTTACTGCGAAAACGTCCGCCATTGTTGTTGCAGCAGCCTTCCCAGCCGTCACCGCCATTGCAGCTTCTTCTTCTTCTTCATCGTCTTCTTTGAAGCCATCTACCTGCTATCTACATCCCTCGAGGAGCTTCCGATTCGGGTCGGTTTCCTGTTCGAACCCGGTTCTCGGATCCGCCGGACTCGGGTTCTCGAACCCCCGCTGCTCTCTTTTCCCTGTTCAGATGGACGCGCCTTCTTCTGATCAATCGTTACCCTCCCTTCAGGTGGCGCGAAGGTTTTCCTTCAATTGGGTTTCCTCTTAACGTGAATTTTAACAGTTTCTACATTACTAATTCACTTGATTTTGCATTTTTTTGTATAGGAAGGAACTATCCTGCCGGAATTGCTGGTAAGAATCGTCCATCTCTCTCAAAGTTTCAATCTTCAGTTTTGGTTTGAGCTTTAATTATTTTGGGTCTTTTTAGAATAAGTGAGTGGAAATAACTCATAGTGATTGCAAAGTAAGTCTAAATTGCTCATTAATTTTATCGTCAACCTTTATCTGTCAATGGTTTGCTGATATATGTAATTATAGACAGAGTTTATGGTTGAAATGTCGTGCGAAGGCTGTGTTAAGTCAGTCAAGACTAAATTAGAGGGCATTGAAGGTAAGTGCTAAAGGCGGTGAGATTCTTTGTTTGTATGGAGTATTGTTTTAAGGTGGCAATATCAACAAAATATTTTCTACCCTATTTATCTTTCAGGGGTTAAGAGTGTGGATGTGGATCTGGGTAATCAAGTAGTTAAAGTTCTTGGTTCTTTGCCTGTGAAGACTCTGGCAGAAGCTTTGGAACAAACGGGTCGAAAGGCCAGACTAATTGGGCAAGGGGTTCCAGAAGGTCTGCAAACTATGACCTAGTTGTATTGTTACTTCGCCCATTCATCAAGGGCCTGTTCGGTAAGAGTTATTCGGCTTAATCTGGTGGATTTTCTGAAAGGAAAGATCGCTTGGTAACATTCAAATGGAGCATAAGTGTTGACGCTCCGTAATCATGTGTTGATTTCTAGTTGTATTTCATTAAGATATAAGCTCTATTTGGTAGGCAGTCCTGAAGCAGAATAGGTAGTGTTTGACATGAGGCACATTTGGGATAACCAGGTGACTTATGTTGTTAGTTACTACTTATTTTATAAATGCTTTCTCATTCAAGCACAAAAAGATTTCTTTTTTAATCAAAAGGCTCCAATATGGTGCTTATTTAGCTAAAATGGATGTTACCTAGCATTTTTCTTTTAAGAAAAATTTGCCAAATAAACCTTACCAAATGTGGCCTTAATAATACTTGTGTTATCTCATTTACCATTATTATGATCTTGTTTGGCATTGTGATTGGGACTGCTTGGGATAACCAGGTGACTTGTGTTATTAGTTATTTTGTAAATGCTTTCTCATTTAAGCTCAAAAAGATTTCTTTTTTAATCAAAAGGATTCAATCTGGTGATTGTTTGGCTAAGATGGATGTTATTTAGCATTTTTCTTTTAAGAAAAATCAGCCAAATAACCTTTACCAAATGTCACCTTAAATATGTGTACTGCTCACATTTGCCCCTTATTGTGAATTTGTGATCTTGTTTAGCAGTGTGAACGGGGACTGCTTGTAGATTATTTTACTCTCCACTGCTATTTTGTATGTTTGGCGTTCCAGATTCTCATTGCAATTTGATGCTTGTTTCTTCTCTGTTTGTCAACTTGAATAAGCATCAATTTGATGCTTATTGCTTGTTGAATAAGTATTGCAAAACATGCTCTATAGTTCTATTTGCATCCCCCTTGTGTTTCCTTGTATTGACACACTAATACCGATCAGTATATCATATTCCCGTTGATGCCTATGTTGAGCAGATTTTCTTGTTTCTGCCGCTGTTGCTGAATTCAAAGGACCAGATATATTTGGTGTGGTTCGCTTTGCTCAAGTGAGTATGGAACTGGCTAGGATAGAAGCCAACTTCACCGGACTGTCACCTGGGAGAAGACACAGTTGGTCAATCAATCAATATGGCGATCTGACACGCGGTGCAGCCAGCACTGGCAAAGTTTACAATCCAACCGCCTTCACCGGGAAAGAGGTATGGTTGTATGGGTATTTGATTTTGACCCAATCCCGAAAGCGGATCATAAATTTTTTTGGGTATATCTTTAAATTCTAGCTGAAAAGTGCTGAACTTTAACAGACCTAAAAAAGTACTGAAGTGAACTGAACTTGAGTACAAGAATAAGTTGAAATTAACACTTGTAAATTTTCAGGCACTGGGTGACCTGGGAACACTGGAAGCCGATGAAAAGGGAGAGGCATTTTATTCTGGGGTCAAAGAGAAGCTGAGAATTGGCGATCTGATTGGGAGGGCAATCGTTGTGTATGAAAGTGAGGACAGATCATCGGGCCCGGGGGTTCAAGCCGCAGTGATAGCTAGAAGTGCTGGTGTTGGTGAGAATTACAAGAAACTTTGCACCTGTGATGGAACTACTATCTGGGAAGCCACCAGCAATTTATAAGAGTGAGCTTCTTCTTTCTCATTATGGAGTGAGTATTTTGAAATTTGAACACAACACAATATATATATGTTATTCTGTCTGTATGATTCACATTACTTACATATATATCGTACGGAATAAAAAAAACATATATTATTCCTCCAATGTTAAAACTCTTTTGTGTTGGGAATATATGTCATATTTGATCAACCATTGGAAAGTAACCTAACCTTAGCCTGAGAGGGGGTAATATTTTGGCACAAAGCTTGCTTTGTAGTTATGAAAAGAAACCGGTCAAGAAAGTTCAACAACAAAAAACAGAAAAATTTCGCAAAAAATAGGGTTTAGGAACGGGTGTTGCAGACCTTACTTCTACTCAAAAGTAGAAAAAGTAGAAGCCATAAGCTAGAAGTACGAAAATTCTATTTCTAACTTTGCCAAAAAGCATTTTTACCCTTTGTTTAGATTAAGATAGAAAAGAAAATGAAGAAAAAATGAAAGGAAAAGTATTGTCGTTTGGATGAAGAGTAAATGATGTGGAAATGATGAGAAAATATTTTTCTTTTCTATCTTTTTCTATACATCCATACAAAGGGAAGTAGAAACATATTAATATTCCATCTTTGTACACCTAAAGCCATAAACGATAAGCAGAAACATATTTGCCAAGACACGTCTCCATTCCGGGCGAAGTAGAAGATCAAGAGTTGAGTTCTAATGCAATGCCAAACATCCTTTAAGCATGTACAAAATAACAACACAAAGACGAAGCGCACACACCGACACGAACAACTAGACCAAAATGAATAAACACTCTTCATATATCATTTGCATGAAAGATAAGTTGAAAGGCACTTCAAATACAAAACATTCCAAGTGCCATAACAGAACAGGCAAAAGAACATTTCTAACTTGTCATATCAAAAGCTGGAAGCAGTCCTTCCCTTTTGGCCATCTCATATAGGGCAATAGCACTTAGAGTTTTTGCATCGGCAGTGGCACGCCACAATCTATCATACGGAACTAAATGCACCTTGATTAGCTCGCCGTGATCTCGAAGACCCGTTTCTTTCCCATGTAAAATTTTCATTTCCTCTTTGCTCATCTTTCCTCTGTACAGAAACAGGCTAATCTCTTCATCACAGCCACCCTATAAGAAGATGTAATCAAAATCACAAAACACATTACTCGGTCCTACTTAATGGTCTTCGAAGCTACAACTTTTGAGTTGTAGTAACGTGTAACAGCCGAATATCATCAAATATAGCTATATTTTAAATATTTTGTTAGTTTAACAACATTTAACGCGTTCAACTTGTTTGGGACATTTTGTTTAAAGAACATTTTGAATATGATAAAGTCAGCTTCTTTGGTTTAACTAAGACTTTCTTTTGGGGAGAAGGGAGTATTAGAAATGGGGGAAGGCATACAGGAGAAGGGAAGACTCTGCCGCCAGTGGACGGGTCGAGAAGGGCTGTAAGGTCAATCATGTCCCTCACATTCAACTTTATTCCAGTCTCTTCTTCAACCTGCCAATGTATACACACAAAAAAAGTGATTTTCTTCAAGAAAAAAAATTGAAATTCTATATATCTGTGTGTTTTCAAGAAAGAGACAGACCTCTCGAACTGCGGTTCCCCCAAAGTCGCCATTGTCTTCATCTAGCATCCCAGCTGGTAATTCAAGAATTAGCCTCCCAACCGGGACCCTGACCTTTTACATAATGGCTCTAAATTGTAATGGCTGTAAATAGTCAGAAAGATAACTGTTTTTACCAACTCATATACTACGTTAGGAGGCGAAACTTGCATTTTACCCGGAAATTACCTGCTCGGTTAGCACTGCATATCGCACACCCTCAGACTCCAAAATGATTAGCACTGCAACAGCCGGTCCTCGTGCAAAGACAATACCGGGAACCTAATAATTTTATGGATATAATAAATAGGATTGAAAAACACATCTCCAGGGCCTGTTTAGAAGTCAGAAAATAGTAGACAAAGACAGCGGAGGGAAAAGTATTATGAAAATAATTCCAAGGCAATAGGAATCATGTTTACACACTGCTAGTCCAGTCTCCTTATCGATGACATCCGCTTTGAACTTGAGAAACCCAACACGCTTGCCAAACATGTCTACGCCCTGCTCCAACAAGGCGGATTAGTACGGGAAAGAAAACAAAGGCATGCTAGTTCTAGAACTCCAGTCATAAGAGCACATCATTGATTCACTCATATAGTCATTCAACAAATTCTTCAAGCATTGATTCACTTGCCTAGCCTCCAATTTGTAACATATGGAGACCTTGTGTTCTTAGAGAAGGGTGTGTGCATGCAAACCTTACCCCTACTTGGAAGCAGAGAGGTTGTTTCCAAGAGATCCCGTACTTTGGGTGTGTGAGGAATTTCAATCTAAATTATTTTTAAAATTAACACAAGTGACAATAGCTTATGAAAAATAAATAAAAATACTCCAAAGAAAACATAGAAAAGGGGGAAACTGATTTTATCCCAAAATTAATATCATTAAAAACCATGTCTCCCTGTATTTATGATTCAGAGAAAACAAAAGGCTCCAGTTTTGTTTTTTCTTTCGGCTATGGCGAAATTTTGAGACACCTGAATCAGAATTTGTGTCAAAGACATTGATCCATTAGCCAGCAACCCTGTTTCTGTCTGTATATTTTCCAGCCACTTCTTGAATAAAGAGGATTCAATGGCATTCCTGAAAAGAGGATCCATGTATAATTTGGGGAAATTATAACCAAGTATCCTAAAAAGAATCAATTTTTCCAGATTTGGAAAAATTAATGCTACGGGGAACAAGATGCATAGAAGATTCATGATCCCAGTCAACTTAGGAGTAAATTTAAGCATGGAATCAGGAGAAAAATACGAAAATTGAACGGAGGAGGTTCTTGCTTGAATAGGGTATCGGAGAGGCCCGGAGCAGCGGCGACGGAGACTGGTCGATCGACTTGTGTCGGGAGATTTAGCGTGTGGGTGAGCTGTGCGGGAGAATCTGCAGCCATTTTCGCCGAGAAACTTCTGGCAGTGCTGTGGGTCGGAGCGAATTTCTTCAGCCGTGTGGAGAAATGGAGGGACGGGGAAGAGGAAGAAGAAAGAAAGGCGCGTGACATAAACTGCATCATTTGTTTCGCTCGCGAGGGAATTTTAGGAGAGTGTCATACGAAATCCCTATCATGGATAAAATTTAATTTTTCAAATCAATTAATTTTTGGCACTATAAATTTCAAATTTACAAATTTGTGTACTATCAATGATTGAATTAGAATTAAATTTATTTTAAAATTTAGTTTTGATATATCAAATTTTTATAAAATTTAATTAGTTAAAATTATATGGAATACACCCGGACTCAAAAAATGAAAAATAAAATTGATCTGGTCTAAAATTTATATTTTGGATCCAATTTAATTTTTTAAGAATACTTATGTTTTAAAATTAATGTCAAATTTAAAAGTATAATGCCTTAAATTTTAAAAGTCCTTTACGATTGAACACCTTGCACATCCTCCGAACTACCAATAAGAGAATTATTTATGGCCAAAATATGAAGTACTCCCTCCGTCCTATAATGATCTTCCCGGTTCGCAAAACGAAAAAAAATCTCAAATTTTTTCAATCTATTTTATTTAAATATTGGTATAGAAACAAAAAATAAAACATACATATTTAAAACTACACCAAAAGTTCAACAAAACAAGTGACAACAAGAATATTTTATTTTATCATACAGGCCATGAAAAAACACAACTAAATATAAATTTCCGTGAAGTTGGAATAGTGCTCTGGGAAGATCATTATAGGACGGAGAGATTATTAAACAAATCAACACATTATTTCCATGTACTTTTAACTTTTAAATACTCTCTCCGTCCACAAATAAACTTTACGTTGCGTGTTACGATGTTTGACTGAAATTATTTTTAAATCATTTTATATGAAAAATGGTGTAAAATTTTAAAATAAAAATCACATATTAAAAAGCTATATCAAAAGATCTACAAAACTAGAGGTGACATGACTATATTATTTTATCAAGTGGATAACGAAAATATGCCAACAAAATGAATAAAGTTTGACCCTGTGAATAGTGAAAGTAAAGTTTATTTGGAGAGAGAGTACAAAATACCGAATTTCGGATTTCCCGAAAATACGAAAACATTTCCATAGTTGGGCACACCATGTTTGGTCGGGTCCCACACAGCTATATAGTCTTAAGTCTCGCATAGGCCAGCACGTGCCACAGTGACCCCACCCCTCTTCTCCATATCCCACAAATCCCTGACCGACACTCCTCCTCCTCCTCCCAAATCTAGATCTCCGCCGTCCGCCGCCGCCTCCTCCTTCCCCTTCTTACTCTGCCCTTTCAGTATTTCTGTATAAAGCTCGAGTCTTTACTTTCATTTACCTTTCTTTGGCACCGGAAATGGTGGAATCCCAGACATGGGCTTCCCGGCGAGGAAGCAATCCCAGGCCGGAGACGAACGAGCAGGTCCTGGACATCCCCATCACCCCGACGGCGGAGGTGCGCCAGCACAATCTGTACGGCACCGGCATTTTGGGGACCTTGATCTCCCCGAATTTGCTCACCGGATTTCTCGTCGCCGCCTGGTATTTCTCCAACGTCGGCGTCCTCTTGCTCAACAAGTACCTCCTCAGCTTCTACGGCTACCGTTACCCGATTTTCCTCACCATGCTCCACATGATCTCCTGCGGCGCGTACAGTCTAATCGCCGTCAAGTGGCTCGGAATCGTCCCCTTCCAGCAAATCCTCAGCCGGAGACAGTTCTTCAAGATTCTCGCTTTGAGCGTCATTTTCTGCTTCTCCGTCGTCTGCGGGAACACCTCCCTGAGATACCTCCCCGTCTCCTTCAACCAGGCGATCGGCGCGACGACGCCGTTTTTCACGGCGATCTTCGCCTTCGTCATCACCTGCAAGAAGGAGTCGCCGGAGGTTTACCTGGCTCTGGTTCCGGTGGTTCTTGGGATTGTTCTGGCCAGCAACAGTGAGCCCCTGTTTCATCTTTTCGGGTTCTTGGTCTGCGTCGGCTCCACCGCCGGCCGGGCGTTGAAGTCGGTGGTGCAGGGGCTGCTTCTGAGCTCCGAAGCAGAGAAACTGCACTCCATGAATCTTTTGCTTTACATGGCTCCAATGGCGGCTCTGATTCTGCTGCCGTTTACTCTGTACATTGAAGGGGACGTTCTCGGAGTGACGGCGGAGAAGGCGAAGGGGGATGGGTTTATCGTCTTCTTGCTCGCCGGGAATGCCACGGTGGCGTATTTGGTCAACTTGACTAATTTCCTGGTGACGAAGCACACCAGCGCGCTGACGTTGCAGGTTCTGGGCAATGCCAAGGCCGCCGTCGCCGCCGTGGTGTCGGTTCTGATATTCAAGAACCCCGTCACCGCCATGGGGATGGCCGGCTTCGCCGTCACCGTAATGGGCGTCGTAGTTTACAGCGAGGCAAAGAAAAGGTGTAAAGCATAACTACAGCTCATTAACGGTACAGTTATTTTTTTCTTTTTTTTGGGATTTCTTTAGAAATTCTCAATTAATTCCATGATTATTATTAAAGCGATTGTATACAATTTCAAAACTAAAGTCTCCATATACTATCAAGAAGTCAATTTTTTTCTCATTATTAGTCCTGCTTGATATATTTGAATTTCAAATAAATTAAATTAAAAATAAATTCAATCGATTTAACTATTCGAAATGAGACTTTAGTTAGGAGACGGAGGAAGTGCTTTATAGAAGTGTTTTTGATTGGAGATGGTTTGGGAGAACAAAAAGTTGGCTCTTTTACTTTCTCCTTTGTGTAACATGTATGCACTCTAATAATAATGCAATTTTTAGAGAATGGAAGACTCATAAGTGCTTATTTTGCAGCTAGAGATTTGTGTTTTTTATTCTTCATTTAAATCAATGTATGTAAATGTATTGAACCTTTTGATTCTTGAAATATAAATACATTGTCCTCGAGCTTTAATATAGACGGGAAATGAAAACGATCTTTTTAGGGTTTGTTTGGTTTGAGAAAAATAGAAATAAGATACCTCTCTCATTCTCATATCTCCAATTTTTTTTTCAACCAATAGAGAGGTTATTTTACTCCCTCCAACCAAATAAACCTTTATAGATGCCTATGGCTCTAACCAAACAGGCCCTTAGATTCTGGTCATAGTAAGATCCAAAATGGAATGCAAATTTATTTTGTTGCTTTTCTGTGAATGGAAATGGCGTGCAGTCACTAGTCACATGTGGTTTTTTTTAAAAAAAAAAAAGCCAACAAAAAAAGCTGTCAGTTCCAATTAGTTTGAAGTGTTTGGACTTTGGTCTTGACAATAACGTTTAAATGAAGAAATAAATGACTTCTTGACTTCTTGTTGACCCAAAACATACACCCTAGATGAATGCGTTTTCACCATTGAAAATTTTCAAATTTGGTAGGAAGAAATAAATTTGGTACTATAATTCAGCATGACCAATTTTACAACATAACAATGGTAGGTTTAGGAAGAAATAAATTTTGTTATAATTTCAGCATGATTGACAAATAGTAGAGTAGGCAATTCAAAATATTACCTTGCTTAATTTGAAAGAGAGATGAAGATGAAATTACTTTACCTTTTCTTTCTTTGAAAGAAAGTGAAGGTTATTTTATTATCTTTCACCATCACCTTAAGCTGAACTACTCCATGTTAGAAAACGTGTCGGTAAAATTCATCGAGTCATGATAGAATCAACCGAATCCCATCATCGAGAGGTCAAAAAAAACGTTCATCATCGATTTCTTGGTGATGTGAGATAAAAAAATAAATAATGGAATTTTAGTTGGAACAATATTTTCCTTCCCATCATAATTCCATGAACCAAAAGTAGCATTAGTGTACAACATAACAACTTCACAGAGAACCTGGCCTAGCTTCCACCATTGATAAGCAAATCCCCTCTCCCTCTCTCACCATATTGCCAAAAAACAAAAGAAGAACTCAGTAAAAAGTTAGCCGAAGCCCGTGGTATACGTTAACTCGTGACGCCAAAGCCGAATGTACAATTGCAGCAGTTAAAAAACACTCACTGAAGAAGCAATATCTCCTCTCTCTCCAGTTGCCTCAGTCGCCGTTTCGCGTAAACGGTTATCACTACTGTGGTTGCCATTGTGAGGCAAAAACCCAAAACAGTACAAATGATTTGTGCAGCTGATAGGGAGTTCCTATCCTTTGAAGCATCTGCCAGTGTCTTTATCACAATGCCACTGGCAATTTACAAGAAAAAAAAACAAATCTTTTTATTAGTTTGAAGTGCTGATCTCTAAACTCTAAGCAAACAAGCTTTTAAGGTAAATAAAGCTTGAAAAGAAGCTGCTCCAAAAAGCTTGGAAAATAAGTTGCTTACGTGTAAATTGCAACGAATATCTCGGGCACCAACCCAATCAAAGAACCAATCAAATAAGGAACGTAAGCGACTCCGGTAGCCATTGCGCAGTAATTATACACAATGTACGGAAATGGAGAGATTCTAATCAGCGTCACGGCCCTCAGCTGGTTAAACCAATCCCCTTCACCTGCTAACCTAATGATAGAAGCGCTCTTCGTATACCTCTCTACCCAACCCTGATGGTAAAGAAGGAAAAAAACATTCGATCAATCCCATTTTCAAGAACACGACCTGATATTAACTGTTACGAAAACTTAAAAAAGAAATGCTTGTTTTTGCTTGCCTGGATTTTGTCTTGCAACACAAAGCCTATGAAGAATGGAAGTGACACGCCGACGGATGCACCCGCAATGATGAGTAGAAACCCGTAACCGTACCCAAATGTCATTCCCGCCACCCACATTGAGGGTGTAGAAGGCAAAAGAATTGTCGGGAAGAGGGCCACGGACGCAAATACTATGAGTGCAAGGACAGGTGTGCTGAAAGTTCTTGTCTCCCAATTTAGTATAGGTATGATTTCCTAGGAAAGCCAAATTAAAGAGCTTAGTGAAGATCAAAAGTTCTACAAAACAAGATGTTAGAAGAATATTTTGTTTTATCACGCAATCAATGGAAATAAACTAATAAACAAAAGTTCTTTAACATGATCCTATTGATAATTTGAACTTATTAAATCTAGTTGAAGTTATG